GGGCGCATCCGTGGGACAGCCCAGGCAGCTGATGACTGGGGGGGAAGCCCTTCCTCTTCCCCCCCTCCCTGGGTCCCTCCTTGGTGCCCAGGTGAGGGACTCAGGTCCCTCCTCTCCTCCCACCAGGTGAAGCCGAAGCCGCCCAGCAAGCCTCTCCCAGCACTGAAGAGCAAGGCGCTGTGCTCTGGCAAGGGGCCACCAGGACCGGCCCTCCCTCACCCCCCGATGACACCTTCCTCAGTCTTCCAGGGGAGCATCCCCCCAAAGGTGGCCCTGAAGCCACCCCCAGCCAGGAGGTGACCAAGGATGCTCCATCCACCATCGCAGCTGAGGAGCTGCCAGCTCTGGCGCTTGGGTGGCACAGCTGGGGAGCTGCCCTCTTGCTTACACCCTTACTTGAATCGCTCGCCAGACCCTCCCTCAGGAGGGCAGCAGTGTTTACAGATATTTGAGATGTGCCTTAACAGACTTCGTAGCCTCACAGCTGGCCCAAGGACATCTCCATCTCCTGTCAGCTGGGGCTTTGCGAGGAGACCAGGAGTGGGGATGATGCCAGCTCTGATTTTGAGGCCAGCCCCAAGTTGGTCCAGGCTCTCCTGCACCCTGGGAGCTGCTGCCTTCTCTCCCGACATCCTGAATGTGTCCTGCTCCTCATGCCCCTTCCCTGCTGGGGCCATGGCGAGGAGCTCCTGGCACTGGCTGCTGGGCTCACTGCGGCAGGGGGACCGTGCCCTGGGGCCACTGCTCTGGCTGGGGACAGTCACACGGTGGGGTCTTGCTGGGGGCTTTGGCAGGTCCAAGCCAGGCTTAGCTTCCCCACAGGGTTTTTATCTCTGAAGTTACCACTTGAGTCACTGTTCTCAAATGGAATTTCCTGTGAGTCTTTTTACTGCAGCCATTAACTTATGACCCTTATGTGACCATTTTGAGCCACCTGTCGTGAAACCAGGCCTCCTCATTTTTGATACAATTTAGGTTGAAGGCTTTTATACCAATAAAGACTGAAGGTAGCGGTGTCTTGGAGTGTCTCTGGGCAGAAGGGCAGGAGGCTGGCAGCAGGCAGGCAGCTGCCTGGGGCTCAGGGTGGACGTGGCATGGGTAGAGCCAGGCAGGAGAAGGGCTTGAACTGAGCTCCCAAATCCTGTGCCAGAACCACACGGGCCAAACAGCAGCGCTCCCGCCAGCCCCACAGAGCGAGGCTGTCACAGGGGCTGCAGGATGCCGCAGCAAGCCCCTGCGACCCCCTGGCACGCAGCACCGCTGGCCCCCAGCTGCCAAAACAGGCCCTGGGCTTGCTGCGACCAAAGACTGGTTAACGTGACTCCCACCACCAGCTCAGCTCCTGGTCCAAGACAAGCGTTCACGCTTGCAGGCACCATCAGTGGTCAAGGACCAGCCCGCGATCCCCAGGGACACCGCTCCTGCACAGCAGCCACGCCTGCTTGCAAAACGCTCCTGCACTGGCCACGTGCGAGCAACAGGGCAGTTCAGGCGGGGGCCCAAGGGTCTCAGCTTCCACCAGGAGCTTTGCAGGACAGCAGAAATACAGAACTGTAAGGTTGGTCCACCATCCCCTAGCTTGCTTTGAGCCCAGGCAGATCATGGGGCTCCTTGGGTAGCAGTCACTGCAGCGGGGGACACGCAGTGTTACTGCGGTGAGAGGCGCAGGTGTCCCCCTCCACGTGCCTACAGTGACACCGGCCCCAGGACACATAAAGCCACTAAGGAAATGGTAACAAAATAATTTTATTCTGCTTTATCAAAAGAACGTAACACTGTGCATGTAAACTTGAACATATGTATCGTGTTTCCTTAAAGACGGTGTGGATCCAGCGGCAGATCCCTTTAGTCACAGGAGCACAGAGGCCTTCTGAACAGAGGGAAAAAACAGTTCAATCCCATGTTCCTGGTTGCACCCGCGTTCCTGCTCCAGAGCTCCCAGCTCAGAGAGATGCAAAGCCCAGTCTGGAGTGCTAAAACTGTGGATTCCCTCTTCCTGCACACCTACTCGGTGCCTGAGGAAGCAGACAGGGACGGAGGAGGCTTTTGCAGAAGGCACCGAGCATCATGCACGTGTCACTGCAAGACTTCCAACCTCAGGAGCATCCCCAGGCGTCCCTAAGGCCATGCGGGTAGGAGGTGGCTGATGCATACCCAACCAGAGCAGGACGACGTTTAGCCCGAGTGGCAGCCACCAATGGCAAAGCCACGCATCCGCCTGGATGCCTGCAGGGAGGCCCAGCAAGGCTCGGATCCAATGGGAAGCAGCCCTTCCTGCAGGAGCCTGGAAGGCTTTCCCACTCTGCTCCCTGCATGGGGATCTCGCTCTGACCACTGCAGCAGAGTGCGAGCTGCCTGGTTATTGCTTCTAGTGGTTCCCCCCATGCCCTCGCTTCTTGTCATCTCCAGGCTAGCAGAATCTACCCTGTCTACCCAGCCTGATGCCCAGCATTTGTTGCCAGCACTGGGTAGTGCCCAACCCCAACAAGTACCACATGGAGACAAGCGTACATCTCCTCCAGGAGTGCTTGTGTTCTAAAAAGCCTGCCTTCATCTCAAAATTCAACCGAAGTAGCTGCTGTAAGCCAGCAACACCAAGGAGGTGGAGGGTCAAAGAGACATGACTCCACTGGCTCCTCAAAGCCCTTCCCACAGGAGAAATAGGACTTCGCAAGCCAAACAGTACTGCCAGGAGACATTTCAACCACCACAGGTATGAAATATGCTGCCATCCCCTCTCTGCCCTGGTACCCTTCCCCTGGGGAGGGCACTGCAGGATCTAATGGGGCAAACGCTGTGTCTGCCCACTCCTCTCCTTCCATGGGTTTCAGCTCTGCCCTGCCTGCTGGCTGAGCTGCCTTGCGACACGACACGCAGACATCCCTTCTACTCCTCTGCCCACCAGCGTCCTCCAAAGGCTGCTCTTCGCCAGGAGGGCCCCGTTTGCTCAGGCCTTGGGCAGGTAAAGACACAAGCCCGGCATGCAAAAGCTCAGCTTAGCGCTCCCCAGGCTGGGCTCTGCAAGGCACGTGGCTGTGCCACAACCCCCGTGCACCAGGCGCGTACAGCGAAAACTGAAGAAACCTCTCCTCCCGGCAACAGCAGTGCACGTCCTCTCATCCTCGGAGCACGAGGAAGCACACTCACCCACAACTTCCCTGGAAGCCAAGACTGGTGCTCAGCACCTTCAGCTGGCCTCTCACTGGAGCAGGGATCTGCCACGGCTAGGGCTGAAGAGGAACGGGTGTCCTGGAGCAGAGCACCAACCAGGCCTTGGGAGTTTGCAGACAGATGGAGGAAAGATGACCTGAAATTGCTGCAAAGTCCCACGCTCACGTATAACCCAAGATGGCCAGCAGCAGCAGAAGAGGCAGGGTCAGTGCATCCTTGCTTTGTCCCAGAAATGGAGGAGAGGCAGCCAAGGCAGGAGCTACGACAGCGTAAGGCACTGTATGTTACCAAACTTCAGGAGAGACAGTACCATCTTCTGAGCCAAGCCACACAGGATGGGAGAGCAGAACAGGAAAGCCTGAAACCCACACAACTCATTTGGAGAAATCACTACCAGAGCTGAAGCTCAGGCCCTTTGTTTGGGGTTGAATGTTTCACCAAGGCAAAAAGCTAAGCATGTTCCTCCCCTTGCCACGAGGCTGCAGAGGGTGCCAGGGACAGAAGATTTCAAGGCCAGCACCAACCACCCAAGTGCCCGGAGTGTCACCACCAACCAGCCCATCTGGTGAACTGCACCAGGGCCGAGTGCTGCGTGTGGCTGCACCCGAGGAATGAGGAAAGCAGGATGGACGTGGAGATCTCCCCCGCTGGCAGAGGAGAGGTGGTCCCTGAACACGTAGCGGGTTCAGAGGCAGGCAATGCTGCAGTGCCACCAGCTGGGGAACAGCGTTCCAGCTCAAGTTCTTGCCAGTCGCTTCCCCAGCCACCGTCTTCTGGGATTGTTGAAGAACACTACAAGAAATAGGTCCTAGAAACAAGCACATCCTCACAGGTAAAGGGGAGGACAGAGGAAAAGAGGAAAGCAGATCATATCAGTGGATTTCTTCACCCCAAGCACATCTCTCTCACCCCGCAGCGGCACATGGGGAGCAGGGGTTGGATATATTACAATGCACACCAGGAAAAAAGATCACCCTGCCAGCACCGCTTGTTAAGTCACAAGACCTGCAACGCAGCAAAGCCCGGCCAGTGATGAGAGGAACAGCGACAGACTCCCCACCGCAGCTGTTCAAGGACACACAGGGCAGGTCCCACTTCTTGGAGCAGTGATGCTTCACCTGCTTTGCAGCTGAGGTGTCAAACATCCGATCTGCCGCAGAGCAGGGTCCCTTCACTCTTCTCTTCCCCTTCACTTTGCCAGCGAGCCAGCGCAGTGGAAATTCAGCTCCCTTTTCCCGTTGAAAAGACCTACAGGGAGGCGGGGGGTCTGAGCAAAGATTTCCCAGCTCTGTTCCCAACCAACTGCTCGGAGGTGCTCCCCGCACTCTGAAATCTGATTTAGGGTGCAAGGTGAGACCCAGCCACCCAGCTGAAACGTTCTACAGTCAGTCACAGGTGGCCAGCACGAGGCTCCTCCTTGGAGAGGGGGAGTTACAGAAGCCCGTTAGAGATTGCTTGCTCCGAGTTGTTACCTAGTGCCTCTGCCTACAGGAAAGATGATTATGGCTATGCAGCTCCTATTCAAATCACCTATTCCACACCAAACCACTCCTCACCAGGCCTTGCCCTGAGCAGGAACACGCAGCCGCCGTGGGCCAAGGAGAGCCCACTCCACTGGAGTCCTGGAGGAGATTTAGATAGCGCCAGCAGAAATCTGCCTTGGAGTCCACAAAGCGAAGCTTCATCAGCAGGACAAAGGAACCCTCTTCGCTTGGCCTCAGCGAGGAGCACTGGGGAACGACCAGTGTGCAGCAACATAGTACTCAAAGCCACATCTCCTACCTCCAGAGTAATGCTTGCTAAATAATTGCATCTACTGCGGAAGGCTTTCCTGGTGTCTGTCTTTTAATATTCCAGTATAGGTATGTTAGTACAGGATTATCCCTCATTTGGAAGCACCAATTTAATAGGGGAAGAAACGGAAGAGGCAGAGCACTTGCAATGTGTTGCTAGAAGAAAATCAACCCAACTGCCACCTATACACAAGATGTCCACGCATGCGCTGCATCCGTCCCACCAGCACAGGGCAACATCCCCATTGACAGCTGGGCTAGCTGTTGAGCTACACCGGGTATTCTTCTACCTCTGTCAGCCAGTACTTTCCTTTGCTCTGAGGTGGCTTTCTCCAGAGTTCTCTGGGGCCTCCTGTGAAGGAAGGCTGGTTTCTTGGGCAGTCCTCAGACTAGCTTGCTGGAAGGCACAGGAATCCAGGAACACGTTGGGGATACGGTCACCAAAATACAGCTTGCTGTTGGCAGCTATTGCTTGGTATTTCATTAGTTCCAGATACTCAGGGGTAAGTTTCAGCTACAAAAGGAGAAACCAGAGACTGTAAGAGACAACCTTCTGGGCCCTGCATCATTAGATTTCATCTCAGGCAGCTGCTTCCTGGGATGTGGGCTGTTAAATCAGATGTTTTTCCAGTGATGCCCACCTGAGCCTAATCTCCTGTGCAGAGGAAAAGAGCAAGCAAGTCGTCCTCTGACCAGCTTTCAAGTGCTCACCTTGTTGGAATCAGCCAGCTTCTGAGCAGTGTAGTACTCTGCATCAGCTTTTGCTTTCTCTCTTGCTAGGAACGCAGCATCTAACACAGCAAGAGAGGACGGACAGGAAGAGAAGTGTTAGCAAACAAAGGGCCCCATCACATCCAGCACCTGAGCTTTTGTCCCATGGGGACCACCTGGCCCAGGTGTGCCCATGGCACAGCCTAGCTGGTGGTGTACCTGCACTGCTGGCTTCTTTGGAGAGGCACCAGCAAAGGGGAAGGACCCCAGTGCATAATCTTGTGCTCCTGCACCCTTTATTATTTTTGCAGGACAGCAATTGCCTATGAGGCCAGCTCTGAGGTTCCTCTACCTGCCACCACCCTTAGCTGGAAGATGACCACAGCAGCACCGTTACCTTCAATCTCAGAAATTCGCTTCTCTGTTTCTTTCTCCATAATCTTCTGTTGATAGTGAATCCTGGCCACCTGAGCAGCCTTCTCTGCCTCTGCAATCACAACAGGCTCAGCTCAGACATTCATTTCTCAGGGCTTCAGCATCAACACCCCGACCCCAGCAACAGAATCTGCTGCACAAGTAGTTTGCTCTCTGCTGGATCCTACAGTGCTAGTTTGTACTCCAAACAATATAGTTACAGAAAGAAAACACAGTGCTGATGCTTCTAGAGTTATGCTGGCAGACATCCGCTTACACAAGTGTGAGTCTCCCTGGCACAGGGACATTTAGCTTCAAGCCTAAGCAGTTTTTCTGGCAGAGCTGTTGCCTCTTGGCCTGCTGTAGCAGGAGCCCCGCTGTAGGACAGAGGCGCTTGCTGCTCTGCTGCTACAGGTAAGGCCTACTGGAGGATGCAGGAATGGAAATTCAGTCTGGCCCCCGTTGGCTAGTACTCCCAACTGGTGACATACCAATGAGCGCTTTCTTCCGGTCTGTCTCTGCCTCCTTCTCTACTACCTTCTGCTTCTGGGCTGCAATCAGCAGTTTGGTCTTCTCAGCTTCCCTGCAGGGTGAGAAACGTTATTACAGGGATATGGAGCTGGGGAGCAGCTCTGCAAACCAGGGCACGAGAAGCCAGGGGGACAAGAAGCTGACCAGTTGCCAGCATCATGTCCCCACAGCCATGAGGACTAGCTCTGTCTTCGGCTGTACGAGAAAATGTGTAGCCAGCAGGTCAAAGGAAGGGATTATTCCCCCTCTCTATCTGGCACTGGTGAGGCTATACACAGTTTGAGGCCCTCGGGATGAGGAGTGAGACCAGTGCAGGGCTACTGCAGATTTGGGGTGGGGGCCAGGGCAGATGAGGTGAGGCTTGCGGAAGCTGGGCTTGCTTAGACAGAGTTGAGGAGGTGAAGGGGGACCCAACGGCATCTCCCCCTGCCCAAAGGGCTCCTGGAAGCACCAGGGCTGGGCTCTACTCGGGGGGGCACACCCAGACCCCCAGAGGCACCGGCACAGGCTGCAGCATGGGAAACCCCGGCCGGCCCCAAGGAAGCAGCACAGCCCTGTGCCAGCGGGGCGTCCCTGCAAAGGAGCCCCGAGCGGTGGAGGATCCCCATCCCCGGGGATGCCCTGGCTCACCCAGACACGGCCCCCAGTGACCTGCTGCAGCTGTGGCATAGGCGCTGCTTTGGGAAAGGGCTTGGACAGGGTATCTCCACGTACGCATCAGACTAAACTCTGTCTGCAATTCTGTGAGTTTGCTGGAGGGGAGCTTACAGGCGAGACCTCAAGACCCCTGAGCTCTGAATTCAGTTTACAAGTCTTCTACAGATTCCCTATAGCACATCAGTGTCCCCTCTACCTAAAGGAGTAGGAACGTAGCCTTGACGTGACCTCTGTACACGCGAACAACCATCTTTGTGAAGGGCTGAAAGGCTTCAAGGTGAAAAAGCTATAGAAATGGAGAAACAGAATGCACAAGCGCTCCTAGCCCAGCGCACACTGACTAGAGCCCACCTTTCATGTTCTGAGCACCAGGTAAGAGCTAGAAAGTCTGTGCTGGACCCTCAAAGCCAGTTCATACAGTTTTATGTATAGCTACTCACATTAGCTCAAAATTTCTTCGGATGGCTTCTGGGATTTTGGGTTTCGTAACACGCACAGCCTACGGGGGGCAAAAAAGTGAGTGCATTTTACATTAAACATTTTGATGTGAGCTACATAACTAACAAGTATCTTTGCAAACCAGCTGTAGTGCTCTGGACATCTCCACATTGATCCAAGACCACACATAATGGTTCCAAATCCTCTTGTACAACACAAGGGAGCACAGCTGCTCTCATAGAGGTGTCTTACATTTATATTGCCTTCCTACACCTTTTATGGCGCCTAAGTGATCAAGTAAGGCCTGTGGAATAGACTGCTGAAGAGGCCCGCCACTTTTGTTAGAAGCAGCTTAGTTCTCCACCCCAAAGACTCTTCAAACCTCCCCAGAGGCTCAAGAAAGGGGCTCACAAACCCAATAAAATTAAACTGCAGGAGTGATACTTGCAAAACAGAGGCAGGGCTACAAGCTCAGGAACGTGTTTCCCAGGAGAAAAGCTTGCAAAAGCGACGTAATGAGAGACACAGCAGTGAAGACAGGTGAGAGCAGCAGGGCACGGGTGGCAGCTGGGAACTGGTGCTGTCTGCAAGTGCAGATCATCAAGAGTGACGTGCACAACAATGCTGACACCGCAGCTCAGGTACGTGCCAGAGACAGCCACTAAGCTGCTCTGCGGAGGACTCTCTCTGAAATATGAGGGAAACACCTCCAGAGGTAGGACCAGCTCAGCTGCATGTTGTGTGGCTCATTACCAAGCTTTTCGAGATGTGCATTGCCAGTCCATGGCTGTACGATTGCTTCACAACCCTCCTGCTCCATCTCCATTGTATATCTAGTGCTGAACCTGCTGCTTCTCTCTGGGGTCAGTAGGTCTGCAAAGAACCGAGGGGTTTCCACAGAGGGGAACGGGATATAGACACGTCCAGGCGAGTCTTCACATGCCATTTGAAAATGGAACCGTCTCCAGGTGACAGGCACCCTGCCCCCAGCAAACAGCCTGCCTGGGGAGAAGGGGCCAGCCTGTCACCAAAGCCTGTCACTCAGGAATCACAGAATGCTTTGGGTTGGAAGGGACCTTGAAGATCATCCAGTCCAAACCCCTCCCGTCACAGGCAGGCACCTCGAAGCCCCGTCCAACCTGACCTTGAACACTTCCAATGATGGGGTATCCACAACTGCTCTGGGCAACCTGTGCCAGTGCCTCATCACCCTCAGCGTAAAACATTTCTTTCCTATGTCCAGTCTAAACCTACCCCCCTTTCAGTTTAAAACCACTGTCCCACATTCTGTCACTACAGCCTTGGTAAAAAGCCCTCTTTAAACACCAAAAGGCTGTGATAAGGTCTCCCTGGGACTTTCTCTTCTCCAGGCTGGATAACCCCAACTCTGCTGCTTCTCTGAGCAAGCAAAGAAAGCAGATTTATGGGACATCAGACCAGAACATCCTTCAGTGAAAGGATTTTTCTAAGCTCCTACCAAGTCCCTATAAAGGTACCACATGCAGAAAGCTCACCTCACCAACCACTGCAGAGTATGCAGGGGATATTGTCTCTACTTCCATAATACCCCCTGTACCAAAACAAAGATTGATTTCCAGAAGCATGGCTTTTCCAACACGTGCAAAGACTCACTGGTAAACAGGAAAGTCGCCAGGTCTTTGATAATCTTCACTAGCTGCTGCTTTTTCAAGCCAACGGCTCAACCTATTTTACAGTGAAAACTACTTAAATCTACTAGATGGAAACACCACTGTGCACTGTCAATATTGTTAATAATCAAATGTTAAAAGCATTGGGAGATGCTGGGACTAAATGGCTGAGCAACAAAAAAGAGCATGAAGGAATCAGAAGACAAGCTGACTATTTCACAGCATCTTTTCCCTGTGGCCATGAAGTCCAGCCACATCCTGAGCTGCGCTGGCAAAAGCTCAACAGCAGGTTGAAGGCAATTTTTATTCCAGTGCAAGGAACACAGCATAAGACATACCAACAAACTGGAGAGTGCAGTTGAAAGCCATGTGAGATAGCAACGTAAATGTTGCAGACAACGGGAACAGGCTGATGATACGGCTGATGGTACGGTACTTCTCCTCTCCTGTTGATCCCCCTCCTTAGACATGGGTGTGACATTTGCCTGTTTCCAGTTATTAGGGACCTCCCTTGACCACTGCCATCTTTCAAAGAGTGGCTTCACGATGGTGTGGGCCAGAAACTCGGCACCCTGGGATGCATCCCACCTGGTTCCACAGACTTGGTGTGTCCATCTGCTCAGCTGTCCTCTACTGTGGGCAATGCTTCACCTCTGCAGACTCTGCTGCTAGGGTAAGGAACAGGGAGGCTCAAGGGCAGACCTTGCCACAAAGAAGTCAAAGAAGGTGTTGAGTACTTCAGCCTTTTCCACGTCCTTGGTCACTATGTCCCCTGTTCCACAGCTTCCTTGGCCTTTCTTTTGCTGTGGAAGTGCCTCAGAAGCCCTCTGTGTTGCCCTACGCAGCCATCATCAGCTGCGTCTAGCTGAGCTTTGGTCTTCCTAACTCTGTCCCAACACTCTCAGTTCAACTAGCTTTATCCCTCCCAGCTCGTCTATCCCTACTCCACCTTTTGAGAGTTTCCCTTCTGCTTTTCAGCTCAGTCAGGAACTCCTTGTTCATCCATGCCGGCCCATCTCACCTGCTTGACTTTCCACACTTAGGAGTGTCCTTGGCAACGACACCGGGCCTCCTGGCCTCCTTTGCTGACCATGGCAGTCTCCCACAGGACCCTGCTCAGCACATCTCGCACAAACTGAGTTCTCTTCTCCTTAAGCCTAGGCCCGTAATTCCTCTGTTCACCTCGCTCTTCCAAGGACCTTGAACTCACCACCAAGGCTACAGCTCACACTGCTGCCAGACTTTACCTCTCAACTAGTTCTTCCTTGTTTCTAAAAGGTCCAGCAGAGCATCTCCCCCAGTCAGCTTTGCTCACCACTGTCAAAACCTGTGTTCAACACCCTTCAGAAACATCCAGCACGGTTTGCACCCAGCCCTACTGCCCTTCCAGCAAACACCAAGGTGGTCAGAGACCCCCACGGTACTAGGGTCTGTGATCATGAAGCTTCCTCTGTTCTACAGGCAGCTTTACCTACTTCATCTTACTAACTGGGTGGTTTGCAGCATATATTGAAACTCAGATTTAGCTCTGTAGTTAACATCTCCCAGCAAACAGCTGTAAGCTTTGCTTATGCCCTTCCATATGCTGAGATCAAAAAGGGCCTTTACATGATGACAATAACCTTGATTGATGATGAACTTTTGCAGGAAATCTCTGTGTGATATACGGTCTGAATTAACTTGGATATTTAGAAGAACAGTGCATTCTCAATTTCTTTGTGATAAGACACTGACCATCCTCATCAAAACAGAGCAAGCCTATGCACAAATGAGCCACAAAACAGCACAGTATTTATCACAGCATTTCACGTGCTGTCAACAGGAGACTTTCCCTCCCTGCACGCAGCCAGGCTAGCTAAATGTAGCAACAAGAACGGCAAAACGGACTTGGTCTCACTCTTCCCTACAGCGGGAATCTCCAGGGATTTCCATCTCAGCCCTTGCAAGCCTAAGGTATATCCTTCCCAGCTGGTTGTGTTGAACTTCAATGTGCCAAAAAAGCCAGTATGTCCCATAGCCCAGCTAGGATTAAACATAAGGGGAAACATAACCCCCATTTTTAAGAAGGGTAAAAAGGAAAACTCAGGGAACTACAGGCCGGTCAGTCTCACCTCCGTGCCTGGCAAGATTATGGAGCAGACCCTCCTGGAGACTATGCTCAGGCACATGGAAAATAAGGAGGTGATTGGTGACAGCCAACATGGCTTCACTAAGGGCAAATCGTGCCTGACAAATTTGGTGGCCTTCTATGATGGGGTTACAGTGTTGGTGGATAAGGGAAGAGTGACTGATGCCATCTACCTGGACTTGCGCAAGGCATTTGACACTATTCCGCATGACATCCTTATCTCTAAATTGGAGAGTCCGCATGACACCCTTATCTCTAAATTGGAGAGACATGGATTT